AACGGGGACGCGCGTGCGGCGGTCTTTGTTCAGGATCCAAAATAAATTTCTAATATTTTGCACACTTATTCCACTAATTCCTAGTGTTCCACTGGTTAAGGTGCTGGGGGTTGCCGCCCCCAATCTAGCTGATACCCAAGCAACAGAGCTCATGAAGGTATTATTGCACTGTATATATATATATATTCCTCAGTGCAAATAAGCTTCTTATGCAGGAGGGAGGGCAGAGTGGCGAGAGGAAGAGGTGAGATGACAGAGCTACGGAGAGTTTGCACTGGGAAGGTAGAAATGATGGAATTGACGCGAACAGGGTCGATGAGCGCGGGAAGCCCGTGGGATGGCAGTGAGACGATAGGGTCCGTTGTTATTGTGCATCCATGGGAACGATAAACGATTCGTGCTGACCTGCTGGCACTTGACGATGAGCGGTGGCGGGCGGCGCGGTCCCGTGGGGGTTTATGTTGTTTTATAATGTTGTGTGTTTTTACTGTTCACAATTCGTTATTAGTCCAATACAACTTGAGATTATGTATAGTGTTGTATGGTGGTTTGTATTAGTAAAAAAAAATTATCCAACAGATTTAGCGGTTCATGTCCGCGTGTAAAGGAAACTGCTGTTCCATCCCAGCACCTAATGAAGGTGTACGTACCGCCGTTTTGGCCGCAACGACTATTCTCGTACTCCGAGTCCTGGCGCACTTTCCTGGGGGCTTGGTCGCGACGAGCCGGCTCTTTTAAGTGAACGACGGGAGCCGTCGCGCCCGCGACGAGCCGGTTTTTTTTTTTTTTGATAAGTAATACAAGACAGGAATGATATGCGATGATCTCCGGCGTCCAGTGCTCCGTGCATGCTGCATGACATGTACTATCCAGAGTGAGCACTGTTTGGTGCTGCTGTTTTGAGCATTGCAATTACATTTATTTTTTATGTTTTTTTCCATGATTAGGACGTTAGATGCTGCGTACTGAGCATTGCATAATTTATTTTTTTCAGTTTTTTTATATTAGAGACGTTGGATGCTTGCTGTTTTGAGATGTAATATATTTATTTTCCTATGTTATTTTTATGATACCTTTAGGCTCAGCAAAGATTTGTAATGTCGCTGTTGCTGTCTTTTTTTCATAGTTAATCATTTAGACATTAGAGCCCCCCTGCTGTTTTGGCAGGGCCTTTTCTTTAAAATTTTACAATGGGTCGATACGTAGCCCCTTTTTACTGTCTATTGCTTAAGTTTTATCGGTGTTGCTGTTGTTTGTGTAGCGTTGGTTCTACAAGCAAGTCAGGCATCATTGGGTGGTATCAGAGAGTTCAAGGGTCTGTAAATGCAATTAAAACAATTGGCCATAGCAAATCATTTATATTAAACATGTCCTTTTTGACTTTTGAATACTTCAGTACAAAGGATGTATTGAATAATTTATGTGAAATTATATATGTGTACACATATAAATCATTAGTCTAAACAGGGCTACATTTGATTTAATTATAAAAGGTATAATATGTGGTAAACTGAAGAACCGTTTGGGAGCCGAAAGAGCCGGCTCTTCTTGGTGAGCCGAGCCAAATGATCCGGCTCACCAAGAAGAGCCGGAATTCCCATAGTAAACGCTCTCGGGTTACCGGGAGAGTCAGATTGTCGCGAGGCTTCTGGCTTAGCAGCTTCCTCATTAGAGGGAAACGCCACAATCTCTGGCTTTTCCTCCTACACAGCTTCTTGTGAAAGCACTGGCATAAACACAGTGTCAACTAGTGATACGTCAGAGTCCACCTTACGTGCCTGTGCGCGTGTGATTGCACAAATAGGAAACACTTTCAAATTTGCCTGTGTTACCTCAACCCACTCTCTTCAGTCTGCGTACAAATGACACGACTTTACACATTGGAAAATGCGTTCAATAGATACGCTAAAGTCCGATTTTGCGTGCCTATCATACGCCAACTATTCCCATTGAGTTCTGAGTCCGAGTTTTGCGTGCATATGAGACGCAAATGGATACGGTCGGGTCTGAGAAGACCGGAAGCTGTGTGGTCCATAAAAACATGTTATTACTCAATATCAAGCCACGATTATTGATTTTATTTGTAATCGTATAATGTCGGACTTTTTTTGTCCGTCCGTGAGGAAAAGAAATGGAGCTTTCCTTCTAATTTTTTATTCTTTTCTAAATAACACACTGTTATTTACTCAACAATAACACACAATTATATTATAATCTTGGGCACCGGAAACAGACGTAGACGGTAAACTGATTACCCAAGATCCTCAGTTTGAAGCTCAGGATGTTTTAGCCGCAATGCACGTTGGGATATGGTGTTAATGCGATATGATATCCGAACAAAAATTCAGAGTTTAGGATGGCC